TAACCGAGATATTTTCGAGCTTGGGTAAATTTAGTTTTCGCAGTGTAGATAGTTAATTAGTATCGAAAGAAAATGGTGAACTATTTGCGTAATCTAATATCAATACAAGCAAAGTATCAGTTTGGAAGGATTGATACCAGTAAAGCACCAAACTAAAAATGCCGTTCGATGTTAAAATTATAAAACGATAATACCAGTAAAGTTCTAAACTAAAAGGATTAATATTATAATTATTTGGTAGCGGAAGAAAACTGTTATATAGTTTTATCACATATCGATATGACCCTAATTTGAATGGTTTTGATAGTGATAATTAACTTGAAAATGTCAACAATGAATTAAAATGTTTTACCTGAAAATTACCCATTTGTCGGGATACAGTGAAAACAGCATTTTTAATATGAAGCTGGTATTACCCAGGCTACTTTTGTAATCGCTCAAACGACGCAATTTTTTATATGGGAACAAATTAACAATAAAAAAGCAATGTTTCGGTATATTTTATTTGATTATGTGTAGCGGTCGTGCCAGCTTAACGGACATCACTTATGGCCGGAACCTCATTGACAGGGAATGTTTTTCAGATGTCCGCCTCCGATTGTTTTGGTTATTGGATATGTTTTTTAGGGCCAAAAAATAAGAAACACGTATATTTTTATTTTGGCCCATTTTCATATTTAGGAGATAGAACAGCCCTTCAAAGTTCATAAGAAATGGTGTAAGAATTCTTAGTTTAAAGAAAAATGTGTTGAGTAAAGTTTGTTATAAATTTAATATACGTCGTAACTGCTTGGTATATAATGTTCTTATCGACATTCACCCTTACGTGCAGATAAATTATCCCTAATCGTATAAAGACACGTTTAGACATGTACAAGATTTTTTGCTTCCTCAAATCAAAGACAAATATTAAAAACTATATCGAAATAAATAAAATAATTAGAAACCAAATTTAAGAACAATATTTTATTTGCCGAGCACCCGAGGTATGCTCCTAGCATATGATTATTTTGGTGCTCGCCAAGTAGAACATTGTTTTCAAATTTAGTTCCTAATTTTTTTATTTGTTTCGGTACAGTTTTTAATATTTGTCTTCCATTTGAGGAAGCAGAAAATCTTGTACATACAACATACGTGAAACCAAATGTACTTTTTGCCAACTGACATTTGGCAAAAAGATTTTAGCTGAGACTTTAATGGAATTTTCCACTATATTTGGCACAACTAGTTAATTTGAGCTTTTTATGGGAAGAGAGCAATTTTAGCTATTTTTGCAATTAATGTTACTGTATCTATTACTAATAATAAAATCGACGAATGTATCTGATACAATCCTATAATATCAAAATATAATTAAGACAAACTTGTAATTTGATAAAAAGTTAATAAGAATATGTATATTTCGTATACGCAGTATATATAAATATATTTTTTTATATTAACACGAAAAACAAAAGGGTTATTACACAACAATTTATAACAGTATAGTATTTGCGAAACTCGTAATTGTACGTGATATAGGCAAAAAAGTGTCTTACGAGCTTGGATGCTAAAGGGAAAGTAACGCTAGGACTCGAGAAGAAAATTTAGTTAGCACTGAATAGGCAGATGGCGCAGGGTGGTATTTGCAGTCAGAGTATCAAAAATCCTGAAATCACCAAATTTCTTGAGTGTTATTTCAATTTCTTTAAAAAATTTGCATGGAAACGACTTGTGGAGTATACCTCTCAGTACAATACTTAATGTAATACAACACAGCTGTCAGTATAAATATGAGCATCAGTGACATTGGTAGAAGAATCTCTTTTATCAACATTGATTAAATTTCTCGACGGGTTTCACTTCATCCTAAGGGGCTTGTCAATGAAAAGTAAGTTATCAGGCTTAAAAAAGTTCAGAAAGTATTTCCTATAATCCCGTCTGACTTTAGCGAAAGTCATCGTGAATGCCAAGTTTTCCTTTCGGCCGCATCCGTAAAGAAGTCGAGTGGACGCGTAAATCCAATTTCTTACGTGCGTAAAGCTGGCACCCCCACCTTTACAAAATTCAAATTTCTTTGTCTTAACATTTTATACTCTTTATGTGCTAATTATGTGCCACATTCGCAAATTTTGTGCTAGCTCGGTTTTTGGGAAAAAAAAAATTGAATTTTTCTGTGGGGGTGCTGGGTACTAAAAAAGCTAGCACCCCCACCATAAAAAAAAGTGTTTAAATAATCAAAAATAGGTGAAAACTTATCAGCAAATTATGTGCTCTCCGAAAATCGCACCTAATGCACTAGGTCCCTACGCCATTGCATGTACGTGCAATTACCGAGTTATTAGGGCCGAGGAAACAATTATTGTTTGAAGTTTGAAACAAGTATTATTGTTGTGAAAGATTTGTAGATCAAATGGTCCCTTGACCCGGTCTGACCTTGAAGCGGAAGGGGCCGCGCGCGTACCGGAAGTACTTTCAGAGAGTACCGCGAATGCATTCATCCGAAAGAATCTTACGTCTCGATTGTGCGAATCATCGGATCTCACGTGACCGTGAAACCTTTCGTACAAGGTTCGATAGTTAGGTGGCTTCTGTGTCCATTGCGAGTATTTTCTATGACATTTTGACCTGACTCACGTGTCTGGTATGTCTGAAATGCTCGACATCTCTGCCTTTGAAACGTATACTGGCCTGGGACATTACGGCAAGCTCATTTGTCAGGAAAGGAAGCTTTAGCTGTCTGGTGACAAAGAAGCATAAAGAGGGTAGTCTAATCTAGAGGGCCCTTTTTAAATATCTTGATATATTCTAAATATTTTCTTTGCTGTAAATAATTACAATTATGGGAGAGTAACCTAGAAGAGGACACGTAAAAAAGCGTACACTTTTAGCGTATATAATTCTGGCCGTTCTGCTGATCCGAAATAGAAGTAACCGTTGTCTTCACAGATGTCAAATTATTTCGTGCGCGACACTCATGTATTTAAGGTGAAGTGAAACACCCTTCAAATCAGTCGATTCGAATACAACACTTTTTTTAAGGGTATTAGACCAAACTGTCCGAAACCTTGACACATCACTCCTGATCATCTAAGAATTGTCCTGACACATCGAAAATTTGGATTCTTTAACAAAATTTTATAACTCAGCCCAGACCAGAACCAAAATGGCGTCGAGCTCTCATATTTCGATCAATATACAATTATCGAAGGCTCTGATATGAGAATCGAAAGGGTCAGGACAATTTTACGACAATTTAGAACACTGTGGTAATCGATAAACTCGCATTTGAACGGGATAAGGGCAAAAAAAGTGTTGTATGCGCTTCTATGCTAAAACAATGGGAATACGAGGTCTCGGAGTGAAAATTTAATTCACCTGGAAATCACAGATGGCGCAGGGTGTCCCTCTGCAGTCAATTGGGGCCCCAGAAAGCTTGAATCCAGAGGATTTTGACAGAACATAAAATATCCGAAATAAATAACTTAGTTGCAGCTAAACATAACAGATGGCGACATTACTTCGTCAAAATCTAAACAGTCAGTAATTCATGGGATTTCGGCAGTTTTACATCGATCTTTTTATTATTATTTTACCGAAATAACATATGGAACCCTTTAGTTCGGATAATTCTCAACGTAGACTGTAAAAGACTTAAACATAAATATAAATGCCGGTAATGAGACGCACCAGGTTATGTTACCACTTGAGTATTCTAAACGACATTACCACCAAAAAGGATACAGATAAATTTTACTTTATTGACGTCGATTAAATTTCTTAACGCCTTTCATATCCTCTTAGTGTTGTCCATAATTGTGGTTTCCGAAATGGTTACCATTTGTCGGTTTTTAGATCTTATATCGGCCAACAAATCTTCTCGAATTCTATTGGGTTGACAACTAAATGATTGCGGATTTGTCGATAAATTGTAATGAAAAATCCGTAATAACTTACAAGGAAGGTTCCTGAAGTGTCCCCCTCCGATTTTGTTCATTTTAAAATATGTTATAGAGGACTAAAATCTAAGGGACCCGTGTTTTTTTGTATCAGCGGATAAACACTTTTAGGGGGTAAAATCAGGCTTCAAAGTTGGCCGTGCAAAGGGGTGAGTTGGCTGTTTCATTTAGAAGCACTCGGCCGATGTTCATGGAACAACCGTCAAAATGTAGGGAATGAAGAATTATGAAACGTGCATTTGGAAGTTTTCGAAACAATTCATTTTTAAGGGGTGAGCTACCCCTTTGAATACTTCTTTTACCTCTTACGCGAGCAGTAATTACTCTATCCAAATGAAACTTGGTTAATTTATAGACCAGAACAATACAAAAAAAGTTTCATTTGGATAGAATAATTACTGCTCACGTAAGGGGTAAAAGAAGTATTCAAAGGGGTAACTCACCCCTTAAAAATGAATTATTTCGAAAAATTCCAAATGCATGTTTCATAATTCTTCATTCCCTACATTTTGACGGTTGTTCCATGAACATCGGTCGAGTGCTTATATATGAAACAGCCAACTCACCCTCTTGCACGGCCAACTTTGAAGCCTGATTTCACCCCCTAAAAGTGTTTATCCGCCGATAAAAAAAAAACACGGGACCCTTAGATTTTAGTCCTCTATAACATATTTAAAAATGAACAAAATCGGAGGGGGACACCTCAGGTACCTTCCTTGTTAGTTGCCATCCCAATAGCTACAAATAAAATGTATACACGGCGTTCCTCAAATGCACTTCAAATTTTAACTTAAGGCGTACACCTTACGTTATTATTACCAAAACGAAGGATGATAATAATAAAATTCATAACATGACCCTGTTCCCTCCCGTGGTAATTTTACCATCTAGAAATCAAATACATTAATTTGCACTCAGATAATAATGTAATTTCCCCCCCCCCCAGTCGTAGGAAATGATTTTTTCGAAATTCGGTCCTCTTAAAAGAATAGCACAATTTGTATCTACTTGACTTTCGGATATCCTTTTAACATTTTACTTACATTTTGTCCTCTGTTTCAGGAAAGAACCTCTACAATAACGAGCACGTTGCAATAAAGATGGTAAGTCTGAATTCTTAAAAATCGCAGTAGAGATCTGTAGCGCGAGATTAAAGTGCCCAAACGCCACTTTCGTCAGCGTTTCATAAAATGTATGAATCTATAGGAAATGAATGCGTTATTTCGTTTCAGGAACCGATGAAGTCAAAAGCGCCGCAGCTCCACTTAGAATATAGGTTTTACAAATTGTTAGGTACACATGGTGAGTATCGTTTTATCTTTTCGCTTATATTTTATACCGAAATACTTAAAATAAAATACGTACTTAGTTGTTATGTCGAAGTGAAAGAGGAAGGAGAAACGCTCTTCCGGAAGTTTCGTATCTTTTTCCTTGAAGGGCTCTCGTTGACGGGCTCCTTCGGCGCGGTAGTCGAACCAAAGTGGTAGATGTAGATCTTACAACTGTTTTCCATCGTCTACGATGCTCTCCAGCAGTTGTACAAGTGGTACGATGACGCGATCATTTAACTCGCAAATGCACATATTGGTAATTGCGCGTACCTTGCTGCGAGCGTTAAAGGGGTATTACCGTCTAGAAGCTTGTTTTTTAAGTAATTTTTAGGAATTAATTTTCGCGAAAACTATCAAACCTACAGTGCCGGGGTTTTTGATGCATATTGAGACATGTTTCAACTAGCAATACAAATTTTTATGTAATTCTTTATTGAAATCTACACAAGTTATGCGCTGTTGTGCAGGTCGTTGCGGGAGACGCTCGTCCAATCGGGCACACGGGTTGCGGCGATTCTAGTCGTCCGAAACGGAATAACAAAATTTTTTTTAATTCTATACGAATGTAGTTATCGTTCGAACTAGAACTATGTAAGTACGAAATTTTTTATCGGAATCGCAGCTGTTTGAAAATTAAGGTTTCATTTTCCCGGAAAATCGTCAACTAAATCATGAGAGCGGGGCTGAAATGTTCAAGCTATCGGTACCATTCTAGTTCGGACCATAGGTGAAGGTTCCGTCGAAATGTGTGCAAAACCCGAAGTCAATCGGTCCAATAGTTTTTGAGGAAAACGTGCGCCCGACTTGAAAAATGTCGTTTCGAGAAAAACGCGTTTAAAGTTTGCCATACATTTAGCACGTACGGTGGATAACAACCGATTTGAGTAACGTACCCTTTAATCAGCTATACCGGGACCGTACAAACCACCTTCCTCAGCTTCAAGAAAAGAATATTGAGCCGCACAATGGACACAACGGTGTAGGTACAACGATCGAGGGGATGACGACTTGCGCGCCCCAACGCACCGCAGCCTTTAATCCACTATAACTATGGGAGTCCTACGAATTTCAAATTAATATTTCGAGACACATTCTCAGAACCCCAAACTATAAGAAAATGCAAAAAAAAAATCTAATTTTGGGTTTAGGTAGGTGTGAAGAGGGTGTGGTGTGAACCCATTTGTTGTTGTGTTCCCTTGACGGGTCTGCCTGTGTGGACTCGTCAATAAGGCCTATCAGGCAGACCCTGCCTTAACCCCTCGTCTTACAATTTAAATTCCAATAACGCGTGCCATAAACAACAAAAATCTCGGTCATACATAGGTTCATTTCACGGTTTGGCTGAACGTTCAAAGTTTCACACGTCTCTCATACGTTTTGTTTACATTTGGCCCGACTGACATACCACGTTTCTCACACGTTTTGTTCACGTTTGGCCCGATTGATATACCACGTCTCTCACACGATATTGTAAATTAAGAGGTTAAACACCGAAAAATCTCTCCTGAGCGGGATTCGAACCCGAAAGAGTACATGGTATGAGCGGTGAGCGTAATCGCTGGGCTATCAAAGGCCTTTGTAGAAGGAAGATCTTCTGATATATGCATATATGCTGTGACCGCCACAGAATTTTTGAAGTTTCTAGACGATAATACCCCCTTAACCGTTCGAGTGCCAAGGAGCGATTTTGCGCTTCTTCTGTGTCCCTCGAACAGCGCCAGCGTTCTAGGCTGCGAAGCCGATAACCGCGACACGCTCGGTTTCCGTCGATGCGCGACTTTACGGTCACCATTCCATTTTACGTAAAAGTAAAAGAATGAGACAGCTGGTAAAAGAACGAATTTTAAATTCAGTCGAACATTACCAATTACCGTATAGAGCAGAAAACAGCGCAATAGCGCTCCTTGGCATTTGTAATCGGGGAAGACGACAAGCGCTATCGCGCCGCTTGGCACTTTTGGAGAGGAAATAAGACAAGCGAAAAAGCGCTCCTTGGCACTTTTGGACGGGAAAACAGCAAAGAAACGCGTTAGCATTGACATGCGATCAAACTTCAATAATCGAAATCACCTTTGACGCTGATCTACATCGCCACGTGCTGTTTGTTTCATGCGTTCCGTTATACGATGATCACTGCACACCAAACCACCATTTGGGGTCTGGGGTGACGTACCTTCCAAACGGTATAGTTCATAACACGCATGTAGAGGGTGTACCGGAGGTCTACTACTTCGGTCCTTGCGGGAAATACAACGCACTGGTGATGGAGCTCCTTGGACCCAGTCTCGAGGATCTTTTCGACCTTTGCGGAAGAAGATTCTCCCTCAAGACCGTTCTCAACATTGCCACCCAACTTGTACGTACCGTATTTTTTTCCTTCTTAATATCATAGTTCTTCGGAAAACACTTCTTTCTTGAAGTGAAACTTCTTATGACACATTCTATTTTATTTGCGTTAAATGTTTTGTATTATTCGATGATTAAATTATGCCCTTCGTAATGCCAAAAACACGTGCCAAGAAAGTAAGTGAGTGCGATGAAGAGAAACGGAAAGATAAAGTACCATTAAATCAAACCAGACGATCCAAAACTTACAGCCCAACGCACACGAGAATACCGAGGGAAAAAAAATAATTTCAAAAAATAAATAAAATGTTCTGATCCATCCATGAAACGGCTAGAGAAGGCTTCAGTCCTGTCGCGCGGCTTTCATGCGTGTTTGTATAATTTAGGGGTGTATTTTTGTATAGAGGATGTTTTTTCATGACGAGTAACAACGTGAATTTTCTTAAATTTGTAGCGTACATGTATTAAGGGGTTACACTACTTTGACGCACTCAAAAATTACGGTTTTTTCAAGAATTTTTTTTTAAGAGTTAAAACGTTTTTATCCAATTGGATTACAGTAAGGTATTATACTACTATTAAACTCGCTCACTGCGAAAATCGGTGATAGTGCGGTGGGCAGGTGTATAGGTGTAAACGCGTTTTTCATAAAACTGCATTTTAAAAATCGGTGGGCACTCTAGCTCCGCCAATTTTCAATCATTCGTCTTGATTCTTTTTTTATTTTATTCGTCATATGTTTATCTAGCGAAATACGTATGGTTTTTTCAATGTATTGATATTCGCATTTTTTATGCAACATTAACTAACGAAATTTAGGACAAAATACGTATCTTTCCTTTCAAATCGATGCCATTTTGTGAAAAATGCATACTTTTGAAAACGGCTACGTATTTCGCTAGCTTTTGGGCTACAGAAACTAATTCTTTTTCGTTTATTGTTCTAACTTAAACCTGGACCGAGTTATCGTGCCCACCGCACGATCATCGATTTTCGCAGCGCTCCGGTAAATCACCTTTCAAGCCGCCATTTTTGTAAATAAGAAAAATACGAAAAAAGCATTTTTTTGTTTAACAGTAGTATGATACCTTACTGTACTTTAATTTGGACAAAAACGTTTTAATTTGTAAAAAAAAATTCTTGAAAAACCGTAATTTTTGGGTGGGTCAAAGTGGTATAACCCCTAAAGGTAATACGAAAGGCGTCGAAAAATTTAATTGATGTCGATAAAATAAAATTCATCTATATCCCTTCCGGCGACAACGCTGTTTTGGATACTCAAGTGGTAACATAAGTTGGTGCCCTATGTTACCGACATTTGTATTTATGTTGACTTCTGCTGCAGTTGATATTGAGGATTACACAAAATGAATTGTTCCACATGACATTTCAGTAAAATAATTATAAAGTGATCGCAGTAAAACCAAATAAATCCATTAGATTTATAATTTTTTATACTGTAATCGACCAACGACAGCATTTGCCACGTTTAGCTGTAAATAAATTTTCGCTCATAGAGCACGTGTTATCCACGGAACAAGTCAGTATTCATTTACAATCCTAAGAGAAAGTATTTTCGATGTTTTTCCACCTAACTCTGTAATATTCAATTTCTACGGTGTTCTAAATTGTTGAAATTAGATCCTGAAAATCTTCATTTACATTTTAAGCCTTCAAAATGCGTAAAATAGCAAAACTGCGTGGGCGATGCCTAGTCGATTCGAGTCCATGATAAATACATTTCTTTTTTACGAAAAAAAAAAAGGA